AAAGAAAGAAAGAAAAGGCTTATTATGAAGAGCCAATATAGAAATAAAAAGAGTAACTGTGGAATATAAGTGAGTGTGCAAGACCAACTGGGACTGAGGGTATCTGTCAAAACCTGGTAGCTGGGGGCACAGCTCAGTGGTAGCTTGCCTAGCACATTTGAGGCTCTGAATTCCATCCAAGCACTGCAAAAATAAATAAATAAATAATGAGAAAAGAGCTGAAAATAGAGATAAAGCTTGTCATACAAGGTAAGGAGTCTAATAGAAGACTCTCTCTCCAAGGGTGCACCCAGCATTCTCCTCTCTGTGCAAGGGAGAACGAAAAGTGAAGCGATGGCACAGAAGGGACAGCAGAGAAGTTGGTTTGACCAACCTGGATGGATACTGGCTGAGGGAAGAAAAAAAAATCTTTCCTGAAAATTCCCAACTGCAAACCAGTCTTTCCATGAATGTGCAGTCTGATTCGTACAACCTGTACCCTGTGTTGTTAGAAAACTCTCAAGTGGAAAATTTCACTTAGTGAGCACCTGTTAGGAATAAATCCTCGTGACTGGTAAAATCAAATACAAGTGCTCTCCAAAGGACTGCAATTTCAATCTGTGCCTCAAAAAATGTCCACAAAGTTTCAAGAAACTTAAGCCTAAAGTTAAAAATCACAAAATACACAAGGAAACAAGGCACCATGAGTGAGAGCCAGCAGAAACTATAGACATCATCAGACCCACAAAAATAGAGTCATAGAAATGATTAAGTACAGCAGATAAAGGGGTATTTTAAATATATTTTGAGATATGAATGTAAGGCTCCAATATGTAATCTAGGAACAAAAGTCAATAGCTAATTTTGAAATATAAAAAACTGAGGTGTTAAATAGTGGGCTAAAAACACTGTTACAGGCAGACTTTATTTACTGAAAACTGGATCTTCAAAAATCTAGAACATTATTCAGAGACACAGAGATAAAAATACAAAGAATAAGATATGTGGACTGGAAGACAGAATGAGATGGCTTAATATATGTATAATGGCATGTGTGGAAGAAAACTAAGTTGGAAGAGGAGGTATTTGTAGAAAATAAGCTAAAGCATCTGAGCAAGGCTTAAAATATAGGGAATAAAATTTAACTGAAATGCTCACTCTCAAGGCCAAGGCTTCATCTGCACAACCTTAACAATGAGCACCTCTCTAGACTTTGTACCCAGCACTAGTTTCACATGAGTTCTGACCCTACTGAACATTTTTCCAAATTGTTGTAAGACACCAAACTCTGGGTCCAGAAATCCCAAAAAGGATCAAGAAAAACTCAGAAATAAATATAACAGACTGAAGCTGAAGAGGACATGAGAAGGAGAATGGGAAGGGGGAGGAAATGGGGGGCAGAAGGGAGGGAGGGAGAGGGAGGAAGAAGACAACCAAGAAGACTGGCTGCCTGGTGTGAGGCCCTGGGTTCAATTCCCAGCACTTGAACACATGCACACACACAGACACACATACAAAACAGGGAAAATAAGGATAGAAAGATATCTAATTTGGTAATTTTCACAACATATAATAATACAAGCAAACTGAACTCTGCTCTGCCCTGAAAAGACAAAGTTTGTCAGACTCACCAGAAAACAAAGCCCAGTCATATAAGAGCCTCACAAGCACAAGAGAGGAGTTAGGTTCAATGACTGCCAGGGAAGGTGGCACATGCCTGTAATTTTAGTGGCTCAGGAGACTGAGGCAGGAGAATTGGGAGTTCAAAGCCAGCCTCAGCAAAAGCAAGGCACTAAGCAACTCAGTGAGATCCTGACTTAGAAATAAAAAAGAAAAGACTGGGGGTGTCGCTCAGTGGTGAGACACCCTGGATTCAATCCCCAGTCCCAAAACAAAAGAACAAATAAAACTTTCCTTCTACTTTATCCAGTCACTGTGATTTCTCCACAAAGTAAAAGCAGAATAAATTTGGTGATTTAAGGACAGTTTGATAAAGGAACTCTTTGCAAATACATGGGCAGTGTGGGAAGAAAGAACAGGAATAGTGAAACAGCCTGAAACTAGGAAAAACAGGACTCAACTCTCACTCCAGGAACCCAAGGGGGCAAGCCCATCCTGCCCCCTCCAATCTTCATTCTTCACACAATGCCGGATGAGCTTTTAAAATGTGAATTAGCTGGGCCTGGTGGTGCATGCCTATAATATCAGGTACTCGGGAGGCTGAGGCAGGAGGATTCCAAACTTGAGGCCAGCCCAGCAATTTATGAGACACGGTCTCAAAATACGAAATAGAAAGAGCTGGGGTTGGGGGGGCTGGCGTTGTGGCTCAGTGACAGAGCACTCACCTAGCACATGTGAGGACCTGGGTTCCGTCTCAATACCACATAAAAATAAATAAAATAAAGATATTAAAAAATATATTTTATGGTCTATTCCTAGCACCGCCCTTTACCTCATATCCTCTAGCTCTGTCAGGGACCAGAGTCCACGTCATTCTCAGTTCTTAAGCCATGCTGCCCTTCTCTCATTTCTCTCTTTCTTTCTTTTTTTTTTTTTTTTTTTTTTATTCTTTTCCTTCCCAAGTTTCCCCTTGGTTGATTTTCTTTGGGGTTAGTACTACAGCT